AAGAAAAAAACGACAAGGTGGTGGACAACAACCACAAGCATCATCCACTCAACAAATAACACCGCCTGCATTAGCTAATAAACGTTATCTTATTTTAACTTATAATGCAGAATATGACAGGTATGTAAATCTTTTGAGGTTGATGTTGATCAACTGTTAAAAAAGATTCGTATATTGTTCTAATTGTGTTAAAAAACCCAATTAATCGCAAGACATGGGAAGATTCGTATATCCTTCTATTTTCTAGAATCTATTATCCATTATCGTTACCCTATTGTGGTAAACCAGATCCTGTTTTATCAATGAATCAAATTAGAGAACTAATAAAAGAAAATCGATTTTATAAAACAAGGGTGAGTTATGGCGTCTGAAATAAAAACTTGAGGAAAATTATCTTAACTATAGACTTGGGACCATAGTTAGGACTTCCCAAAAAATGGTATTGGAAATTCGGGTAAAAAGTATGGCTGTTTTACTTTTTTGAAAAGACGCTCTGATGGAAGTTTCATCTCTTTGCAATTTTTTATTATGATTCTGTAACGAGACAAGAAATAAGGAAGGCAGTGAGGTTAAGGATCTTTGTTCTCCACGCAAGTTTCGCCTTCACATAAGGATCGTATTTTCGTTCTTTTTAGCTTGAATCAAACGTACAGCATAGCGATTTTATTCGTCTTCAACGAGAGTAAGTTGTATTTTGCTTTGTCAACCAATTTGTCTAATGTTATTTATTTAGTTTAACTCGTTTACGAAAAGAAAATGATCAACTAAAACAGCAGTTAACGTTGTATCGTTCAGGTGGCAATGGTGGTGGTGATAATCAACCAATAAATAATTCTTCTGCAAATGATAAACAACAGATTGAATTATTGAGACAAATGATTCGTTCGTCAGAAGAAGCTCTCTCGAAAGAACGTAATCGTCTACATAAAACAACATCAAAAAAATTAGATGATTATCGAATATTAACCGATCAAGTTGATTCACTGCGTACATCCGAACGACAATTAAAAGCAAAAGTTCGAAGTCTAACAAATGAAATCGGAATTTTGAAACGAAAGTATGTTAGAAAAAGATTAATCATGTGTTTATAAGGCTAAACTTGTTTGTGATATGTTAGTTCTGTACATCGATCACCGGTTGTTAAACCGTCCTCTCGTTCATCATCAAAAGAACGACCAATGTCAAATGGGTAAGTGATCTATCTCAACTTCTTCATTTACTTCATTTATTTTGCACTCTGTTTTACAAGATATTCTCCACGATCTCGTATAAGTCAACGTCCACCATCACGTCCAAATTCGGGTGATCGTCGTCGTCAGCAACAACAACCACTTCATTCTCAACATCGTTCAGATCATGTTTTAATAAAACAGCGACATCGTTCATTGAGTAGTGAACGAAATCATCGATCAACAAGTTCAACAAAACAACGATCACCTTCGCCATCAGGTAAAATGATCATTTCTACTATTATTATTCATACAAGAATATTAACATTTGTTGTATGTATTTAGATTCCCAAAAGCGATTTAATCCAACAGCGTATATTCGTGAACGAAATAATAAATTAAGAGAATTTGAATTACAAAAGTAAATAGTCTCAAT